TTTAATTAAAAATCTAAATCTTTCACTAAAAAATTTAAATTCAAAATTTTTCAATTTTTCACTTCTATTATTTTGAACGCAACTGTATATAATACATTTCCGTAAAAAAATATTAAATCGGTTAAGAAAATTTTGAGATATAACTTTTTTAGTCTCTTAAGTCAAAAAAGGCGTTTTTCCAATATCTTCCGATTTTTAGGGTATATTGAAGATTCCAAAAATTATAAAATGATCTACTCATCTAGGTCTATAAAAAGCATTATATCGCGTAATGAGTGTTTTTGTGTGTCACACAGTGTTATCACTTAAAATGCTCACAGGAATATATTTACGTCTACTTTAACATACACACTAATTTAAATACACCGCCTTGTGGTTGGTTCATTTATGACCAAGCCTCTCTTTAAGAGGCCCAGTTCATGGTCTGCTTTAAAACCATTCTTCCTTGCAGAGCAGTATGTAGTCTGTGAAAAACTATATCCCACAGGATTTGTTCTATGGTAACGCTTATTGTACCAGCTCAGTCTGATTGATTCATTTGATCACTTGTTTTATAAAAAAAAGAAAAAATATTTAAAAAAATATATAATATTTAAGTTCGATTTATGGTTTACACTAAAGGCCTGCCCAAGACAACAATATGCGACAATTTGTTAAAAAAAAATATCGTGTGCGCTATCATAAGCACACAAAATTTTTTAGCAAATTGTCGCATTATTGTTGTCTTGTGCAGGCCTTTAGTTTACACTTGCTTTGATAACATATGCAAATATCATTTTTTGCAACATTAAAATCTTATTAAGCTCCCCTTTATTTACAACTTCGTTAGAAGATTCAAACGAGTAAACCGTTAAAGGTACTGTTTAAGTTTAAATTGATTTAACTACTTTTTTGAAATACTATTTATGACAAAGTTAGAATCCTTTAAAGAAGAGTCTAACGAGTAAACCGCTAACGTGCTTAAATATTGTTAGCCACCAAATTTATGCTTGTTTCGTTTTGACATTATAAATCACATTTGATTTGTCTAAGACATAAGCACTACGTGCATATTACATTTAAAACCCATCTACTTCTATGAGGTAATATTTTGGTTTAAATAAAAAGAGATCTTCATCTCTAATAAATTTGAAATATACTTTTGTTTTATTTTTATATAAAATCTTGGGTAAATTAACAACAATTCTTTTCTGATCGTCTAGTATTGTTCTGACAACGAAGATTTTCAGCAAATTACATGTACACAACACGATCGCAGACGAACTTCTAAACAAGAGCATCAAAAATAGAAATATTTTATTTAGTTGCTTGACAGCATTCTACAAAGCAGGCTGATGTCGCTTTGTTAAAGGAATTGCAAACACAAATTGAAAAAACAATAACAACTTGCAAAAACATGAGCATAATTTACAAAAACAACGTACACCCTAAATAATTTTCAACAATGAAAGTAAATAGGTTCATCTTGTTTCATTATTTTTTTTGTACATTTTAATTTGAAATGTTGTTTCTATGTGAAGAAATTATCATTCTTATGTACATTGATTACATTTTCTTTATAAATATTCTCATTTTACAGTAATGCAATTTATTCTTCAAAATTAAAAATAACCAAATATTTTTTTCAGTGCAATTTCATTGAAAAAATACCAATATTGTGTATGTAGTGGTGATTTTTTTTATCTGCCTCTATATATGGTCTATAAGCACTTCATGCTCTTGGCATTATTATTTCAACGAACTAAAAGATAAATAAATACAAAGAGATCTCATTAAAATTTGAAAATATATTTTGTTTTATTTTCATAAAATCTTGGGAAATTGTGGTGGAGCTGAAACCTATCCGACGTCGACGGACTGTCAATTGCAAGCGCACGGGAAATGTAGCATCATTTGGCAGTCATTGAAGCCGTTAACGGTTACAGATGCAACAGAGTCCTAAATGATCACCCCTGCGATCTCGGATTGTGAGAGACAATTACCCAGGCATTCAAGAAATATCTAGCACAATTAAGAGCCTCATAGACCTATCATTAAGACCGACGAGCAGTTTCTCCAGTTCCACCTTCCACACTAACGCAAATAATTAAGGTCCTTTTATTTTAATTTCATGAAAGAACTATTGACCACAGTCGAACTGTCACAACAACAAATTGTCCTTTAATAAAATGCATTTCAACCACAAAGTAAAGAATACCATCAGCTCATTAATAATACATACTGAATTTATAGATTGGGACAACTATAACCACCTCCAATACAAAAACATCAATCCCCAAAAATTACACCGAAATACCCTTCAACACTTTTCAGGCTTAACATTCAACAAGTAAGAAAGTATAGTCGGGCGTGGCCGACCATATGATACCCTACACCAGTCATGAATATTAAATGTGATTTATTTTTCATAATAAAGCATTTATCTTCAATATCCCCTTGTTCCGATACATTTAAGCAATTTATGGATGAAAAACTAATTTTCTGAAAGAGGCTTTATATGGGGGCTAGGGGCAAATATGGACCAAGCCCGATAAAATTTTGTGAATATATTTATATTTACATAATATTTTATTGTGCTGAATTTCATCGCGATATTTGTGTTTATAAGTTAATTTGGGACATTCAAGTAATTTTCTGAAGGGGACTTTGTATGGGAGCTAGGGTCAAATGGGGCCCGATCTTTATGAAATTTTGGCAGGGTTATCAAGACTTCTATAAAACTTAGTTATGCCGTATTTTATCGATATATCTGTATATTTAACATAATTATGAGCTCAGAAGCCCTTTTCGGGGGGTTCTGTTCTATGGGGGCTAGGTGAAATAATGGACCGATTTTAACCATTTTCAATAGGCTTCGTCCTTGGGTCAAATAAAACGTGCGTGCCAAATTTCATCCAATTATCTTGAAAATTGCGACCTGTACCTTGCGCACAAGGTTTACATGGACAGCCAGCCAGCCAGCCAGACGGACGGACGGACGGACATAGCTTAATCGACTCAGAAAACGATTCTAAGCCGATTGGTATACTTTAAGGTGGGTCTAGGACGAATATTTTTGAATCTTACAAACATCAGCACAAATCCAATATACCCTCCCACTAAAGTGGTGTAGGGTATAAAAATACATATCTTTAAGATCTAGTAATACATATGTATGTATGTATATTTAAAATCGCCATATCCTGAAAGGTTCCACCACAGACATCAGTTCTTTATGCAATATGACATAATTATAATGTAATCAGGCCTGCCAGATTTGCCGATTTATCGGCATTTTGTATATTAAAAAACGCCATATCCTGAAAGACACAGACATCAGTCCTTTATGCAATATGTCATAATTATAATGTAATCAGGTCTGCCAGATTTGCCGATTTATCGGCATTTTGCCGATATTTACCTTCAAAATAGTACAGTGCCGATTTCCCGATTTTTGCTTCAAAAATGACGATTTTTTACCCAATCGAACCAACTAACGAATTTATTATAACTTTACAAAAGCAAAAATTACATGGAGCTTTTAAAACAATTGGGATAGGAAAATTTATATTATGGTAGATCACCAATGTCAATTGGATCGATTATGAAAAGGAAACACAATTTATGTATGAAAATCCCGAATAGGTTTCCTAAAGTCGGGTCTAAGGGTGGTAAAACTATATAATTTTTAAGAAATTTTTTATTGTTCGAAAATAAATTTACACATTTTTGTGGAAAAGTTAAAAAATCTTGAGAAAATTTTATATTATAAGAATTTACGCAGCAAAATCTTTACCTATCCGGTTTTTGTTTGACGATAACCAGAAAATAACTGATTACAAATGTGATTACCCCACTTTCCTGGACTCAAAATTGGCTTTGCAGTAATATTCTGTATTTATTAGTCTATTTTCTTTCTCAATGCTCCATTAATAAGTTATTTGATCGTGCAATTTGGAATGGTTTTTACAAAAATTAAAAAAACAATATTTTTTCAAAAAACTTCTGATATCGACTAGGATTAGAACCATTAACTAATTCCATATTAGACACACGCTCTAGACAATTGGTTGCATATCCTATTGAGAAAATTAATTAATAGTTGTGTTTTGTTGCTAACGTTCAAAGGCAATTTCATATAAATTTAAAATTTATAAACGTTAGGAGTTAACGTGTAAAATTATACAAGTTAATTTTAACGTCGATAAAAGTGCTACCAATTCAAAAATAAAAATACAAATATTAATGTGTTTATGTCAAACAATAAAAAAATATTTTAAAATAAAATTTAAATCAAAAAAAATATCAAATAAAAAAACCTTTTTTAAGAAAATGTAAATAATTTCAAGATTTAGCAGATTTCTTCTGTGGAGTGATGCCAAGTCAGGTAATGTTCGTAAAAATATCAAATAAAAAAACCTTTTTTAAGAAAATGTAAATAATTTCAAGATTTAGCAGATTTCTTCTGTGGAGTGATGCCAAGTCAGGTAATGTTCGTTTTGTTGCTAACTTTAAGCGTTAACACTCATTGATAGCAACAAAACACAACTAATATTGTTGATAACGATCACTCACTGTCAAGTAATATACATATGAAATAACTACATCACTCATAACCAAAATTTGAAAATTTTTTACAGGATAAATGTATAGTATTCCATAAATAATTATACATTTACATTTTACAAATACAAATTCTAATAGATTTTATTCCAGTAAACCAAAGTTTCGGTGTACCCTTACAAAGAGTTCTTTTATTAGACCTATTCTGAATAAAAATTTCCTGAGTTATGTATGTAAAAATAATATTGTGATTTTTAAATTTATTTATATGTTTATTTGGTACAAATTATTTTCTTTCAATTGCCGATTTTTAAAATGTAAGTGCCGATAAATGCCTATTTTTGAGAAAAAACCTTAGCTATTAGTATCGTGTACTAATATAATTTCATAAATCATTGTTTTTAAATTTTTTATAAATAAATATTTTCTTGTTGTTCCGCACACACAATTATACATACCATTAATTATATCCTCATTTGTTTCTTTTCCAAAAGATTTGATTAGCACTAAAGGATACATGTCTAAGATAAAAGACACTAAATATGAAATTATCCAAATGTAAACAATTTTATACAATAGTAAATATTATATGTAAAGTTGTCAGCAGAGACCTTAGCCGATCATTTTGAACGGCGGCGACAGCTAATGACAAATTACGCGCCGGCGGCTATTAGTTGAAAATTAATCGGCTAGCTTTTTTTGATCAGCTCATACAATAAAATTGGTTTAACCGACCGAGAAAACAATTTTTATGCAGATTTTCTTTGGAATTGAGTATGAGGTCTTCTTTGGAATTGAGTATTGATTGGTATTTAAGTATATCCTATTGTAATTGATGTTTTTTGTTTAAGTTTTTATTTTAGAATAATAAATTTTTTCTTTTCTTTGTACAAACTATTCAAAGCTTACAATCATATATTATAAGAAACAAGTTAAATTATAAACAAGTAGAAAAGTATAGTCGGGCATGGCCGACCATATAATACCCTACACCATGAGTATATTTAAAATTTTTTTTTTTTTTTACAAAGAAACTTTTATGTTGAATTTTACGTTAATTACAAAGTATTTAAGCAATTTATTGATAAAAAACAAATTTTCTAAATGAGGCTTTATATAGGAGTATAGGTCAAACATGAGCCGATCCTCATTAAATTTGGGAAAAGGATATATTTTTAAATAATAGTTAATTATGTTGAGTTTCATTGCGATGCAAATGGTTACAAGTCAATTTTAGACGTTTAAGACATTTTTTGAAGGGGGGTTTGTATGGGGGCTAGGGTCAAATAAGGGTTGATCATTACGAAAATCTGCAGTGTCATTTATACTTATATGAAACTTATTTGTGCCAATTTTTAGAGAGATAATAGTATATTTGACGTAATTATGGCATAAAAAGCCCAAATCGGGAGGTACGGTTGTATGGGGGCTAGGTGAAATAATGGACCGATTTCAACCATTTTCAATAGGCTTCGTCCTTGTGGCAAAAAACATGCTTGGTCCAAATGTCATCAAATTATCTCGAAAATTGCGGCCTGTACCTTGCGCACAAGGTTTACATGGACAGCCAGCCAGCCGGACAGACGGACGGACGGACATGTCTTAATCGACTCAAAATGTGATTCTGAGTCGATCGGTATACTTAAAGGTGGGTGTAGGACCAATATTTGTGTGTGTTACAAACATCAACACAAACGTATAATACCCTCCCCACTATAGTGGTGTAGGGTATAACAAAGTATTTTGTTCTACACTCCTCCTCTTTGTTTACAAATTACATAAGTCCTAAAGTGTTCTTAACATTAACAATAGTGTTTTAGCAAGTGGTTTTGTTAATATATCTGCTATCATTTTTTCGGTAGGACAATATTTAAGACATAAAATTACTAGAAGAATAATTTTTTACAAAATGATATTTAATATCAATATGTTTTGACCTAGCATTAAATTTTTCATTTAAAACCATCTTAATGCAACTCTGATTATCTTCCATAATTGTAATAGGCGTATTTAGTTTGTAATGCATTTCTTGAAGTAGTCCATGTATCCATTTTGCTTCTTCACAGGCTTCTGATAATGCTATGAATTCTCCTTCAGCTGTAGAGAGTGAAACACAGCTTTGTTTTCGGCATGACCAGTTGATAACTCCACCATTTAAATAAAACACATATCAGTTTTGTTTTCGGCCCAGTCTGCATCGACATACCCAAACAATTCATTATTTTCCGACACACTACTTAGTTTTAACGATAATTTTGCAGAACCTTTAAGATATTTCATAACACTTTTTATTTTGTTCCAGTCTTCTGAGCTAATATTGCAACACTTGAGGTAATATCTGGTCTTGTATTTACAGATAAATATAAAAGTGATCCAATAGCCTTTTGATATTGCTTGTTATCTAACAGTTTTTCGGATTCTTCAATTTTGTTATAGGAAGGTATCAAAGGAATTTCTGAAATTTTTGAGTCTTGAAGTTCAAATTCATTTATAATTTTCTTAACATAAGGTAGGTAGGTAGGTAGGTAGATAGGAGGATGTATACTACATCAAATCCGAAGAAATACACCTAGGCCACTATCGGGCCTGTTGTGCGCTCCAATTCAAGAAAAAAAAAATGTATGTATTATTTTTCCATGTTCAGAAACTCAGTTTCCTGGACGTAATTCCTAAGAATCTTCCAATCGGTGTTGGTTAAGAATGTTATTTCCGGAATAACATCACTTCCAAGATACATGTTAGATCCAAGATACTTGGATCTAACATGCTCTACATTCGTCTGAATTCGCACGTCCAATTTTGTATAGATGTGCTCGTAATCCTGTGTGTCCACTGAGAATACGTACCATCATACTAACCTCAGACTTGCTCATTTTGAGAAGATTTCTCGTCTTGCTCTCATCAGGGTCACCCCATAGAATCTTTGTGGTTCTACCCACCGTTTCATTATTCCAAGAGGCCTTATGGGATTCTCTCATCCATATTTTTAATTCAGCTTTTGTTGCGTCGAATGGTTTTGCGTTTGTCAGGTTAACTACATCGAGCTCCCTTCCCTTTAAAGCTATTACATTCGCCATTTCGTTGCCGATTACTCCCGAGTGGCCTGGTACCCATATGATGTGAACCTTACCTCTGGGAGAGTATTCAGTTAAAGCTTTCTTACAATCCAATACGGTCTTAGATTTAATTCTATCACCTGATATCGCACAAATTGCCTTCTGGCTGTCGGTAAATATATTAAGCCCTGTGGGCGCCATATTTATTCTAATCCTATTTACACATTCCGTTATTGCTCGTACTTCTGCCTGGAAGCTTGTGTTATGATTAGGTAAACGGTGGTATATTTCTGTTTCTGGGTCTTCAATATAGAACCCCAGACCCACTTTGTCCCCTAATTTAGAGCCATCCGTGTAGCAACGGATTCCTATTGGTATTTGCTCTAATGTTCCGCTTGACCAAGACATTCTATCTGGGATTAGCGTTTCAAAGTTTCCGACATATTCAGTGTCTGGTATGCGATCAGGCACGTCCGATGAATGTGTATAACCTTCCAATGTGTCCAGTATACATTGATGACGTGTCCTATAACCGTTATTGGCCAGTTCGCCTAAAGTAAAGAGCCGTTCGGCTGTAAGCGCCGCCTCATATCTTATATATGTTTCAATGGGTGGAATATCTAGCAACGTTTCCAGAGCCTTGGTTGAAGTAGTACACATGGCACCACTTATACCCAAGCAGCATGTACGCTGAACTCCCTGTAGTAGTTTGATATTACACTTTTTGTCCAAAGCAGTCCACCAGATTATTGAAGCATAAGCTAGAATTGGTCTAATTACACTTTTATAAAGCCAATTTGTCATAGTAGGACTAAGACCCCATTTCATGCCTATGGTTCTCCTACATATCGCCCAGCACCGATGTGCCTTGTTGATCCTATCCTCTATGTGGTGTCTCCATTTTAATTTCCGGTCAAGTATTACACCTAAGTACTTAACTTTGTCTGTCACCGGTATCTTCTTGCCCAAGAAGCAAGGTTCAGTATATGTAGAAATTTTTGTCTTTCTTGTGAAAAGACAGATCTCCGTCTTCGCCGGGTTAACATTGAGGCCTCTCGGTTGAGCCCAGCTCAAGGCCGTATTCACAGCCTCCTCAGCTCTTCTACACAAGTAATTTGGATCCTTTCCCTTTAAAAGTATTACGACATCGTCTGCATAGCAGACAGGTCTAAGTCCTTTCTCGGTTAGGGTCCTTAGGAGGCTATTAATCGTGGTGACCCAGAGTAAAGGTGACAAAATGCCACCCTGTGGTATACCGCGAAATACCTTTTTCCTGATAGTTATATCGTACATCTCGCAGCTTATCCATCTGTTCCTTAGCATGTAGTTGATCCAGTTACGGAGCACCCGGTCAACATAAAACTGGTCTAGGGATTGGATAAGGGTATCAGTGTGCACGTTATTGAAAGCGCCTTCGATGTCAATGCATACTGCCAGTGTATACAGTTTGCTATCGAAAGACTCACCTATGTAGTGGACAACTTCATTTAAAGCGGTTTCTACCGATCGTCCCTTTACATAAGCATGCTGCTTATATTTAAGGTCATTGTATGGTATGCTGCTTTTAACCATGCTATCGACTATCCGTTCCAAGGTTTTAAGTAGGAAGGACGTAAGACTTATCGGTCGATAGGACTTAGGTGTCGCATAGCTAGGTTTCCCTTGCATCCTGCCATTTAACTGGGGTATATGCCAATTTTAAGCATGCAGTGAATATCTGTGACAGATGTACGGAAACCAGTCCCGCCTCCATCTGCAAAAGTGCCGGGAAAATTCCATCCGGCCCTGCAGCTTTATAGGGAGCAAAGCTCTTGATTGCCCCTTTAACCATGTCAGTTGTAATAACTATTTCCGTGTTACCCTCCCCTTCCTCCAATATCGGTTCATCTATGTTATTCGATATACCGGGTGGGAAATGAGAGTCCATTAGGAGTTTCATTGTCTCCTCCATATCCTCAAGCCTCCTGCCCGTGTCATCGATCATAGATTCCGGTTGGACATGAGTTTTGGATAGGAATTTTTTTATCTTCGATACGTCATTTACGCTATCTACCTCTTCACAGAAAAGTTTCCAGGAGTCTCGTTTGGCTTTTCGAACGATTTTCTTATATTCACCAAGTTTATTACGATACCCATCCCAGTATACTGCGGTCTTTTTACGCCGTGCCCGGTTAAATAGTTTGCGAAGAGTCTTCCCAAGGTTCCGGATCTCCCCAGTTACCCAGGGTTTTTCCTGGGCAGATCTCCGCTCTCGCAGAGGGTAGCTGTCCTCGAACGATTCAACCAGGGCACTTGTGAACGTTTCCACTTTGGCATCTATATCCTCTTTATTTCGACATTGAAAAGTGTCCTGACCTAAACGGTTCTTTAGTAAGGTCCCGAACATTGTCCAATTAGTTTTAGACTTATTCCGAAACTTTATCGGCTTTGGTGGTGGCCTTAGTATTTTGAATCTTATGTACCGATGATCAGAAAAGGAGTGCTCGTCCGAAACTCTCCAATCCTGAATTTCGTTTATAAGCTCTTCTGAACATATAGTTATATCTAATACTTCTTCTCTGATTCTATTGACGA